GCTGGCGCCGCCGCGGCCCCGTCGGGGGAGGAGGGGAGAAGTCAGGCAGCGCCCGCCGAGCGTTCCCCGGGCCGTGGTGGGGAGCTGGGACCCGGTCTGGGCGGCAGGCCGCCAGCTTCTGTATCTGTAGGGCCAGGAGCCAAACTTGGGGCGTTGGGAGGGCTGGTGTGTGGGGAGCGAGCCCCCGAGAGGACCGGGGCTGACTCCCCCTGGAGCCTTGGAGCGCCCTTGCCCCCACCCCCACCCCCCAAATCTGCTCTTTTGAAGTGCTCTGGCTGTGCTGGTGAGGTTCACTGCCCCGGGAGCCTCAGTTTCCTCTTTCGTTCAGAAAGAGGACGGAAGGCTTTCTGAAAGCCTCCAGTTCTTAAAATAATAGCCATAATAAAGCTCTTAGGAAGTAAAATGAAGATTGTTCCATAGCTATCAATGGAGCCTTTTAATGTGCAGAATTCTGGGTGACCCATCCCGGGGTGTGCAGGAAAATGGTCCCGCTTTGTGAGAAGTCGGATATGCGCGGTTACGCATGTTGTCACGAATAGGACATGAATCTTGGAGACCCGCATCCACTCAGGGTACATGGGGGAGGGAAAGTTCAACCCTAGGATATGTGGTTCCCAAGAATTCCAGCCCGCTGCCGGGCCTAGCAGGTTGAGGTTTACTGGGATTGATGAAATGATAACGGGGGGGGGGGACCTGCTCTCGTGCCTCTACCTCCCTTTCCAGTCCTCCAAAGCCCTCAATGGAGAGTAACCGTCTTGTAATAGAGAGCAAAGACATAGTACTTTCCTTTGGATTGAAGCTGTCTTGCCTGCTGGATTTATTTATCGCACTGGAGCCTTCTCCATTGTTTCAGTTAAACCCCAGTATTACTCTGGGAGGCTAACTTGGCCTTCAGGGATTTTTTTTTCCTTTCCTCACTAGTTGTAGGCAGAAATCCTAATCCCTCTGGTTATGCTGCTTCCTCTACCTAAGGGCACTGTCTACTCCTGCCTTCCGTGGGAGCAGTGAAAGTGGAAAGATAGCTGTTGTTGAGCCTTCCTGTTCAAGAGGTCTTTGAAGCCCTTCATCCGTTTGTAGAATTTAGCATATATGCCTTTAAGGGGTTTTCTTGTATGTGTTAGTATCCTGCTCCTTGTGCTTTTAACTCAGGGCCTGAGCCCTATCCCTGAACTTTTTTGCTCAAGGCTGGGGCTCTACCACTTGATCCAGAGCTCCATTTCCAGTTTTTGTGCTGGTTAATTGGAAATAAGAGTCACAGACTTGTTTGGCCCAGGCTAGCTTTGAACAGCAGATCTCAGCCTCAGGTTTAAGATCTCAGATCTCAGCCCCCAAGGTAGGTAGGATTATAGGTGTGAGACACTGCTTTATTTATTTATTTTTTTTGGCTTTTGTTTTTACAGAATTGCCCAGAATGCTTTTCTAAGGGGTCCGATGCTAACAGGTGTAGAAGCAGGGCCTTTCCAACATCTTGACCACCCAGAGGAAACCTCCCACGGGTCTATTTAACTTTCAAACCTCTAATTCTGAGCACAGATCTACTAGCTGCCTCTCTGGACAGTTAGAAACAGAGGCAACATATAGGTTCTAGAGCCAGACCAGGCTGCTGTGTGACCTACACATGTTATCTAGCCTTTCCTGTTCTCAGTGACTTCATGAGCTAAGTATAGGTTGCAATTCTAGTAGTACCTATTTCATAGGGTTTAAATGAGATCATTTTAAGTGCTATCATTTAAAATTATGTTCATGGCACATAATAAGTCCTGAATAATTGTTAACAATTCCTGAGTAATTAGCTCTCTTATCATGGAGCTATTAGGTCATACTTTTTCAGAGTTCTTTGGCTAAACAAGGTCTTGAATATTCACCCTTGAATTACAAGTATGATGCTGTCAGATAAGCCACTTATACATGAATAAATGAGCAAATGAAAGAAACATAGAGGATATGGAGTGGATTTAGATACGTCTTTGGTAGGTGACTAAAGGAACTTTAGTACCTAACTCAGTTTTTGTTTGTAACTCATCAATTCAGTGTGGAGTCTTTCCTCAGATTCACTGTACACATATTAGATGGTAGATTGGACATTAGGGATATGCTTTCAAGTGAAGACCATTTTAAAGATCACTGGTATGCCAAGCAGAGTAAAGCAGATTCATTGAGGGAAGAATGTGAAGAGAGGGACAGAAGTTGTGGTAGGTGAATTCCTTTCAGTTCTGATAAAGATATTAATTGGCTGGCTGGATTCAGACAACTGGTCACTCACAGAAGGTGCTGCTTCATCTTCCTGATATTTCCAGAGGTTTCTCCATTTGGATGTGGCAGAGTGAGGAAATGGAGAGTAAGGAGTCCCCAAAGAAAACTTTTTTTTTTTTTTTGGTCGGTCATGGGGTTTGAACTCAGGGCCTGAGATCTGTCCCTAAGCTCTTTCATTCAAGGCTAGTACTCTACTACTTTGAGCCACAGCTCTACTTTTAGTTTTCTGGTGGTTAACTGGAGATAAGAGTCTCATGGACTCTCATGCTCAGGTTGGCTTCAAACTGCAATTCTCACATCTCAGCCTCCTGAGTAGGTAGGGTTATAGGCGTGAGTCACCGTCATCTGGCTAAGAAAGTATCTTTATTCTGATCTTTATTCTTGCTCTTGTCTCTACCACTTCTTGGCCCAGGTCTCCAAACTGGATGTCTTTTGTGCTGCTTCCCATCCTTCTAGGCTTTGCTTCTTCCTCATTCCCCACATCAGGAAGCACAGGGAGAAAACCAACAAGGCAGAGTACCCCCATCACAGTGGACCATCTGCTCTGAAGCTGAGGCTCCTGTTAAAGGCTGAAACCGCCTGCTTCACTGTCTCTGTTATCTGTCTTTACTTGAGCTGAAGCCCATATGCCCAGAAGCCTCTACAGGTGTTTATGGATGAGGACCCTCAAAACAAAGTCAGTCAGACCAGGTCAACACTGTCAGCCATAGTGTCAAGGTAGCTGACAGCCAAGTGATCGAATCCACATCCAGTGCCCTTCCCCAACCACCACTCATAAGATGATAGCTGTGACAAACAGGATGCTATATGGAAAATAGAAGGTGGCATCGCTATGTTTTCATTTGTTCATAATAATGATCATCTGAATCAGTGCTATGCTCTTAGGAAGAGATTCACGTTCATGTATCCTATCTTATTGCTGTAAAAACTGGAGGGTTTTTTGTTTTTGTCCTTGTTGGTCGTGGGGCTTGAACTCAGCCTGGGCACTGTCCCTCAGCTCTTGAACTCAAGGCTAGCACTTCTACCACTTGAGCCACAGCACCACTTCTGGTTTTCTGGTGGTTAATTGGAGATAAGAGTCTCACAGACTTTCCTGCCCAGACTGTCTTTGAACTGCAGTCCTCAGATCTCAGCCTCCTGAGTAGCTAGGAGTATAAGTGTGAGCCACTGGCGCTGGAAAAGTTTTTAACCTGAGTGCTTACCATTGGGATTTATTCACCAGCTGGAGACCATGACCCTCAATCCTGTCTTTTCCTGTCTTTCTTTGAACACAGGTCCAGCAACTGGACATGGAGGACCAGCGCTCATCACCTCTGTCATTCTCCACAGTTCCACAAGAAGCAGCCCTGTGTCAGGCCTCTGCTGGACTCCCCCGGGAAACTCTGTTCCCATCCCGAATTCTTCCCCCTAAAGAAATTCCTTCTTTGGCTCCCACCGCACCCCGGAAAGGCTCCCTGCTCCAGACTTCCAGTGCTCCCAAACAAGAGGCTTCTGGCCAGATCCCGCATACCCTCCAGAAGGGACCTTCACTCCTGTATCCTGCCGCCTCTGAGCAAGACACGCGCCACCAGGGTCCCCTGGCTTCTCAGGAAGACACCCAGTATCTTCCCTCAGTGGCTGAACAGGAACTCCCCCTTCTGACTCACTCCACCCACCATCAGGAAGCCCTGCTTCACTCCCCTGAAGTTCCTGAGAAAGACCCCCTGACACTTTCCCCCACAGCTCCTGAGGCCGACATGGACCCACTACTCCAAAGTCCCGTCTCCCAAAAGGACACTCCCTTCCAGTCCTCTCCTGCAGCCCAAAAAGAACAGCCACTGCCCACTGCAGAGATCACTCGCTTGGCTGTGTGGGCTGCTGTCCAAGCAGTGGAAAGGAAACTGGAGGCCCAGGCCATGAGGCTACTGACCCTGGAAGGCAGGACAGGGACTAATGAAAAAAAGATAGCTGACTGCGAGAAGACCGCCGTGGAGTTTGCAAACCATCTGGAGAGCAAGTGGGTCGTGCTGGGCACCCTACTGCAGGAGTATGGGCTGCTGCAGCGGCGCCTGGAGAACATGGAGAACCTGCTGAAAAACCGAAATTTCTGGATTCTGCGTCTGCCCCCTGGCAGCAATGGAGAAGTCCCCAAGGTACACTTATCCCAGCTAGGGCCCCCTTCCCTCCGCCCCACCAAGGAAATGGTCAGAATCAGAACATGGTTTAGGAATTGAACTAAATTGGAAGAGAGGGAAAGTGATGGTTGAGAAAGAGAAAAATGTCAGGATCCCTGGCTGCCATCATTGTTTCACCAACCACAGGCTAGACCCAAAGCAAATTGTTTCTCCTGTTGATAAAAGCACAGGCTGGTACAGAAATGGCCCAGGGATCAGGTTGTCCACGTTAGAAGAGGGGTCAGTACACAGTTTCACTGTGTCTGAGGATGGAGGCCAGTGAAGGCCAATCAGAGCACTGTGCAGAGCCTTTACGGTCAGCCCCCATATCCTCAGGGCCTGCATCCTTGATTCTAGCAGCTGTGAATCAAGAATATTTGAGAAAAGGAAATTGCATCTGCACTAAACATGTACAGACTTTTTTCTTGTCATTATTCTCTAAACCATACAGTGTAGCAACTACTTATATTTCATTTGCATTGAGTTCGATATTGTAAGTCATCTAGAGATGATTTAAAGTGTTATGGGAGTGTGTGCAGACATTCTTAAGAGGTGTCCTTAAAAACCCAGGAACTCAGGGGTCACGCCTATAAATCGTAGCTACTTAGGAGGCTGAGATCTGAGAATCAGCATTCAGATATGTCCTGGACAAAAAAGTCTACGGGACTCTTACTCCAGTTAACCAGCAAAGGTGGAAGTGGAAGTGTGGCTCAAGTGGTAGAGCATCATCTTGAGTAAAAGAGCCAAGTGAGAGCGCTGTTTTTTGGGTTTTTTTAAAAAATTTTTATTGTAAAGATACTATACAGAGGGTTACAGTTACATGAGTAAGGTAATGAGTACACTTCCTATTGAGCATTGTTATCCCCTCCATTGTTTTCCCCCTACTATCCCTTCCCTCCCTACCTTCCCCGAGGTTCATTTTTAATTGTGATTAAGTGATTACATAATTTCCCAAATTTCACAGTATTGTGGAATAATGATGCTCATTTAAAGTCACAAGTTCATTCTAACTTTCCTGGAGCAAATTGTCTATCATGGTCTGTAACATATAACGGTGTACACATATACACCATACATGTGATCAGCAGCATGGGGATATGGTTTGACCATATGAGTGGAAGTTCTTTGTTTCTTAAGTCCTGTTAATTTTGTCGTATCACCTAACATTTTGGATTTAACATCCACTTATCAGGGAGACCATGTACCATTTGTCTCTTGCCCTTGGCTTACCTGGAGAGCGCTGAGTTTTAATTCTCAATACTATCATATACACACAAAAAGCTAGACAGCAGTTCTTAATCTTACTTTCCAGAAGATTCTGAAGGAGTGTGTGTAGACCAGTTTTCTTCCTATTCCTCTCCACTGCTGCCCTATTTCACAGCCTAACACTAGGGAGTAAAGGGACCGTCTCCTGGGCTAGCACTTCGTGAACATTATTATTGTACATGAAGCCCTTGGGGACCTCACTGGGCAGGCTGAGTTGTAGGTCCAGAGCGGGGCCTGAAAGTCTGCATTGCCAGCAAGTTCCTGATGTTGGTGTTGCTGCTGATCCACAGATCATGATTTAGTGCAGCAAGGCTTGTCCTGTGAATGCAGAGGGACTGGGTTTCCTATTCTAGCCAGGATAGTGGCCTGATTTCTAGAAGGATCCTGGTGAAGCCATCTCCAGTCCTGAGGAAGAGGTGTTAGGCCAGAGCTAGGGTGTCAAATCCCACAAGTCTTGGGACTTGACAGCCTGTGACTGCCATCCTGTTGGTCCAAGTTGATTTCTTTTGTGTGCTTTCAGGTCCCGGTCACGTTTGATGACGTCGCCGTCCATTTCTCTGAGCAGGAATGGGGAAACCTGTCTGAGTGGCAGAAGGAGCTCTACAAGAACGTGATGCGGGGCAACTATGAGTCTCTGGTTTCCATGGGTAAGGAGGAGGGCTGCCTGACACTGGAAAGAAGCCACTCATACAGTTAGGGAAGCTGAACCCCAGGAGGGCCAACAGAGGAAGACAAAACAGTTTGGGACCAAAGTTTCCAGTCAGATTGCAACTCTGGAATTTTAGATAGAGCATACAAATGAAAACAAATGCCTTGGTTTACCCATTTATATCATTAAGGGACAGGTCAGAGCACCTTGTATGCACAGACCTGGCTCTATGGAGAAGCCCCTGGAGCAGTGGAGAATATAGACCTTGTCATCAGAGAACTGTCATCACCACAGTATTTTACTCATGGACCCCTTTTTTAAAAATGCATTTGTTGTGGCTCAAGTGGTAGAGCGCTAGCCTTCAGCTGCAGAGCTGAAGGACAGCGCCCAGGCCCAGAGTTCAGGCCCCATGACTGGATCCAAAAAAAAAAATGCATTTGTTCGGGGCTGGGAAGGTGGCTCAATGGTAGAGGGCTTGCCTTGCATTCATCAGGTCCTGGATTGGATTCCTCAGCACCATATAAGCAGAAAAAGTCAGAAGTGGCGCTGTGGCTCAAGTGGTAGAGCGCTAGCCTTGAGCTGAAGAGCTGAGGCACAGCGCCCAGGCCCAGAGGTCAGGCCCCACAACCAACCAAAAAAAAAAACATTTGTTCAGCCAGTCATTACTTAAGAAGGAAAGAGAATGGAAGGGAACAGATATAGCAAGTATTCATGGTGTATAAGGTGTTTTCTAAGACTCTGACCAGTCAGTTCTCACAGCTCTGCTGTGAAGGACCCTGGTGACTAAACACTGTCATTCATCAAGCCTTACATTTCACAAGTCACATCCTCACTATGCAAATGAAAAAGCTGTGATCAGAGCCTATGAAGGCTTACCCTAGATCTTAGCATACAGGTCTGTCCTACCCCAAAGCCTGAAGATTCTTATGATTTTCATTGAGAATATTTAGGGACAAGACTCTGGAAAATGCAATTCTCTATGTATCCTTTTCTCTCATACAGAGAACTCTTTTACCTTTTTCTTTTTGCTCCGTTGTGGGGCTTGAACTCTGGGCCTAAGCACTGTCCCTGAGCTTTTCAGCTTGCTCTATCACTTGAGCCACAACACCACTTCTGGTTTTCTGAGTGGTTTATTGGAGATAAAAGTCTCATGGCCTTTCCTGCCTGGGCTGGCTTTGAACCTTGATCCTCAGATCTCAGCCTCCTGAGTAGCTAGGATTATAGGCATGAGCCACCAGCCCCCAGCTCTTTTACCATCTATACACATAATAATTAGCATATATTAGTTATACAAGAGAAGTTTCATTGTGACATCTCCACACATGTATAACAATGTATCCTGCTCAGCCTCAGTTTGTTTAAACATTAAATAAACATGGGTAGAAATTTGGGTTCACGTTAGAATTGCTAATTTATTTGCACATATCTTTCTATGAGATAACTTTATTTCTTTTTTAAATACTTGCATAATTGTGAAAATTCAGCAGTTTAGACTCCCACCCTCCCACTCATGAGAGAATACCACCATGAACCTTTTGGGTGCACTCTGGGAGTAGGGAAGGTTAATACCACCCACTTAATCCACCTAATGGCAGGCTGCACACAGCCTGGCCCATCACATTTGGCCTCCTTAGACTGTAGTATTTGACTTGACTCTTCACCTTGCTGCTGTTGGTAAACAATAGTTGATTCTAGTTTTCTCACTGTTGCAAAGTGTTGTGATAATCAGTCCTTGTGTATTTGTGCTATTACTTGAGAGATTTGGAAAAGGAGCTTATGTAGTAAGACTGCACATTTGTAATGTTTTTGTGTGTGTCTCAGTCTTGGTGCTTGAACTCAGAGCCTAGGCTCTGTCCCTGAGCTTATTTGCTCAAGGCTACTACTCTGCTACTTGAGCTATAGCTCCACTTCTGGCTTTTTAGTGGTTAATTGGAGATAAGTGTCTCAGGAGCTTTCCTGCCTGGCCTAGCTTTGAACCGTGATCCTCAAGTCACAGCCTCCTGAGTAGCTAGGATTATAGGTGTGAGCCACTCCCAGCTCACATTGCCAATGTTAAGGCTATTGCCAAGGGACCCTTAGAAGGCTGAGCCAGTTTATATTTATCTGTGCAGTGGCCTATGAAAATGCCATCTCTCCATACCTGACTATCTGGTGTTTTTCTGTTTTAAATATAAACATACATATTTTTTGTCTGTCATAGGCCTTAAACTCAGGGCCCGCGTGCTATTCCTGAGCTTTTTTGCTCAAGGCTAGTACTCTACCACTTCGATCCATAGAGCCACTTACAGTTTTCTGGTGGTTAACTGAAGATAAGAGTATGGCTTTGAAGCGGGCGCTGGTGGCTCACGCCTGTAATCCTAGCTACTCAGGAGGCTGAGATCTGAGGATCACGGTTCAAAGCCGGCCCGGGCAGGAGAGACCGTGAGACTCCTATCTCCAATAAACTACCAGAAAACCGGAAGTGGCTCTGTAGCTCAAGTGGTAGAGCGCTCGCCTTGAGCTGAAGAGCTGAGGGACAGCGCCCAGGCCCAGAGTTCAAGCCCCATGACCGACAAAAAAAAAAAGAGTATGGCTTTGAACTGCTATCTTCAGATCTCAGCCTCCTGAGTCGCTAGGGCTATAGGTGTAAGCCACCAGTGCCCAGCTGTTTTTCTTTTCCATAGATGAAGAGCGATAGATCAGCTGGGTACTTGTGTAAAACTAGCTACTTAGGCTGAGATTTGAGGATTGCATTTTGAAGCCAGTCTGAGCAGTAAAGTCTGTGCAACTTATTTCCAGAAAACCGGAAGTGGTGCTGTGACTTAAGTGGTAGAATGTGAGCCTTGTGCAAAAAAACAAACAAACAAACAAACAAACAAAAAACGCTAAGACACAGCACCCAGGCCCTGAGTTTAAGCCACAGTACCAGTCACGCACACACCCACACGCGCACGCACACGCACACATAATGCATCAGGACAATAAGTATTTCTTTGATGCTTAGTGAACTTATACTTTTTTGTATATATTCATTGGCCATTTGTATTTCTTCTATGGGTTATCCATATCTTTGCTTTTTAATTATTAGTAACTATAGATTATTACTGAATATTAACAAATATTAATGAATATTATTCATTTACATATGATAAATATGGCCACATGTTAACATTTTGTTAAGTTTCTTTACTTTTTAGCTTTATTCCCAAAGAAATGTAAATTTGTTGGGAGTCTTGGGGGATTGAACTCAGCAGACCTCACGCATGCTGAGCCACATGCTGAGCCACAGACCTTCACCCCCAACCCTGCTGACTTTTTTTTGTGTTTGTGTGTCAGTCATAGGGCTTGAACTCTGGGCGTAATCACTGTCCCTCAGCTCTTCAGCTCAAGGCTAGCATTCTACCACTTGAGCCACAGCACTACTTCTGGTTTTCTGGTGATTTATTGGAGATAAGCTTCACAGCCTTGCCTGCCCAAGCTGGCTCTGAACCAGGATCCTCAGAGCTCAGCCTCCTGAGTAGCTAGGATTGCAGGTGTGATCTATGGGTGCCCAACAGAATTTTTTTTTTTTCCAGTCATGGGGCTTGAACTCTGGGCCCTGGGTGTTGTCCTTCAGCTCTTCAGTTCAAGGCCAGCTCTCTACCATTGAGCCACAGTACCACCTCTGGTTTTCTGATGGTTTACTGGAGATAAGAGTCTCATGGACTTTTCTGCCCAGGTTGGCTTTGAACCGTGATCCTCAGATCTCAGCCTCCTGAGTAGCTAGGATTACAGGCATGAGCCACTGACGCCTAGCTCCACTTTTTATTTTTTTTTAATGTAAGGAAATCTATCAGTATTTTGTTTTGTGAATTTGGGGTTTTATCAGAACTAATTCTTTATAAAATTCTGTATTTTGTGTGCCTTTGAGATAAAAGCTCTAGGCCAGCATCCGCACTTGTGAGTAGTGCGCACCCACACTCAGTGGACACTAAGGAAGGAGTCTGGCTGGCTACTTGGCCTTTTATATTTCAACATTGGCAATTGCCACCCAGCAGGGCGGCCAATGCTGGTCACAGATGGTGCTTACCAACAATAGAAGCACCTCATTTTAATAGTATGTTTTTTCCTTCCTTTCCCCAGACTATGCAATTTCCAAACCAGACCTCATGTCACAGATGGAGCGCGGGGAGAGGCCAGCCATGCAGGAGCAGGAGGACTCTGAGGAGGGCGAGACGCCCACAGACCCCAGTGCTGGTGAGTGGTGAATGGGTGGCCTAGCACTCTTCAGCCTGGACCCCTCAGTTCTCAGGAGACCCAGCATGGGGATCACAGTCCAGGGTAGACCTGAAGGGGCCTGGGAGCAGGCTGTCCAAGAAGGAGGCTTGCAGGTGCAGGGACCTGTTAGATCCCCCATGGTCCATCCCGGCTGCCAGCAGCTAGCCACCAGTGCCCTAGGTTGTTGGTAAATAGAAATGCTATGAGGTTCATTGTTTCAGGGATTTTTTTTTTAACATGATACAGTGTTACCTCACTCCTTGCAGGAAATGAATACAAAGGAAGTATTCATGGGTTAGAGTACTAGTGCTCAGACCCCCTAGAGCTTCCCAAAGAAAGGCCAGGCCCTGACTCCTAGACTGTGAGTAGAAGGATAAGGGACTGGAAACATCCTACCTTATAGCCCTCCAGCAGGACAGTGTCTGGACAAAGCAGTCAGACAGGACCAACAGACCAACCGTGTGGCTTAGGTAAACTGTGGTGTCAGGCTGCCTGTGTTTTTTAATTCCTAGCACGGTTGGTCTTTTTAGAATTTGTTTCAAAACAGCCTCAGATTGGGCTGGGAAGGTGGCTCAGTGGGAGCGTGCTTACCTCTCATGCATGAGCTCCTGGGTTCGATTCCTCAGCACCACATACACAGAAAAAGCAGGAAGTGGCGCTGTGGCTCAAGTAGTAGAGCACTAGCCTTGAGCTGAAGAGCTGAGGGACAGCACCCAGGCCCAGAGTTCAAGCCCCATGTCCGACCAAAAAAAAAAACAAAAAACCTCAGAATAGTACAAAGATCTAATACTAGGCCTGACGTAGGGATTGGCATGTCTTACCCAGGCCCTGAATTCAAGCCCCACAACTGGTTAAAAAATAGATATAGATATATAGATAGATAGGTAGATAGATAGATAGGTAGATAGATAGATAGATAGTCAGTCAGTTGTGGAACCTGAACTCTGGGCCTGGGCACTGGCCTTCAGTTGAAGGCTAGTGCTCTACTACTTGAGCCACAGCGCCACTTTGGCTTTTTCTGTTTATGTGGTGCTGAGGAATCGAACCAGGGTCTCATGCATGTGAGGCAAGCACTCTACCACAGAGCCACCTTCCCAGCCCCATGGTAAAAATATTTTTAAAAATTAAACAAAACAAAAGGAAAGACAGATTGAGACAAGTGAGGGTCTGGGAGAGGTGATTTGTGGTCAAAATCATGAAACATAGCTGACGCTCAGCTGATTTTGAGGTGCAGGTGCTACTCGGGTATCTTTTTCTTAGAAGGGCGGGATGGGGAGCATTGATTCCCCCCACCCTTATCTTCTTAGTTTTCTCATCTTTATCACAGATGGGCCCTCCAGAGAATAGACCCAACAAATGACTCCAGCCCACTATACTGTGGGCATATCCATGACCTGAGTTTCTTCTGGAAGGTGTATTCCTTGCTGGCTGACCTGTGCCACTTGATTCACTGGCTGTCTCCAGCCCCTTGGAGCCTACATTGACCCAGAGGGCAGGGGCATGGCACCACTGCTCCAGAGCGGTTTTATACATGCTGTATTCACGGGCTAAAGCCTGCAAGCCCTCTCCCCATCCATGCGTCTGCTCCTTAGCAGGGTGGAGCAAAGCCAACCCTGGGCTAGTCCCAAGGTGTGGTGCCAAGGGGGGCCGTCCCAAAAATTGAAAATGTTCAGAATTCAACATATACCAAAAATGATAATTTTATGAACTGGCAAAGTAAATACATGCAGTAAACTCACATTGAATGGCTTAGATTCCTAAGAGCAAAGAGATCCAAAGAGGATTCAGATAGTAGTGCTGCTTTCAAAATACTCACAATAGGGGCTCCAGCTCTTGGCTGGGACAGTGGTCAGAGAGGCCCAGGAAGGTGGACCACATGCCCCAACAAATTAGCAACCCCATGTTGCCACCCAAGTGGCATACCTTTTTTTTTTTCCTATTGCCAGTCCAAGTGCTTGAACTCAGGGTCTAGGTTTTGTTCCCAATTTTTTTTTTTTTTTTTTGCCAGTCGTGGGGCCTGAACTCTGGGACCAGGCGCTGTCCTCAGCTCTTCAGCTCAAGGCTAGCACTCTATTACTTGAGCCACAGCACCACTTCTGGCATTTTCTGCTTATGTGGTGCTGAGGAATCGAACCCAGGGCTTTATACATGCAAGGCAAGCACTCTACCACTGAGCTACTTTCCCAGGCCTGTCCCCAACCTTTTGTGCTCAAAGCTAGCACTCTACCATTTGAGCTACTGTGCCACTTCTGGCTGTTTTGGTGGTTAATTGGAGATGAGTCTCATGGACTTTTCTGCCTGGGATGACTTAGAACCGCAATACTCAGATCTCAACCTCCTGAGTAGCTAGGATTCCAGGTGTGAGCCACCAGCACACGGCCCCATTTCAGTCTTTTTAGAAAGCAATATGATGATTTCTATCTGTAACATATGACTTAAATATTTTAAACACTCACACATTTGACCTAATAACATCCTCTCACAGCCCCTAGCATGTGGGGAAATAATCCAAAATATGACCTGAGCTAGCATATTTATGGAGGATTTTAATACTATAGCTCCACTTGTATTTTTGTCAGGACGTAGAGGTCCTGGCCCTTAGATTTACACTTTCGTAGAGACCAACCAAACCCTTACTGTGTAGAATCACAGTCATGCCTTAGAACAGATCAGTGATGAGGAGCATTCAGGCTGAAGTATGGAAAACTCTGCTGGGTGGGGAGGCCAGAAAAGGCTTCTCTGAGGGGTGGAAGGTTCACTGGAAACCTGAATAACAGGTAGAAGACCTTGGCAAGACCCAGGTGACCAGTGGCTGAGCTTGATACATTTTAGCACACAACCACGACTTAGAGACTGATAGATGTGAACCAAGTGGGGGAAGAGGTGGCGAGGTGAATCCAGCCTCTGTGGGATGAGGACATGAGGCTTAGATTTGGAGAAACAATCAGAATTTGATTTTGAACACTGTGCTTTGAGGTTCCAGCAAGACACCGAGAAGAGTTGAGGAAGCAGCTGAGTACAGGCTGCAGCTGCGTTCCAAGTCTGAGCAAGAAGCACTTGGCTTTGGTGTATGTGGACATCTGCGCAGTGGTGAGGTACACAGGCTTAACTTGGTCTATAGAGGAAGAAGAAACAAGAACAGGAGCCCCCACTGCAGAGCTCTGTCTCTTAGGGCAGATTTGGGATCTGTAATATATTGGTCAGGAAGGAGCCCCAGTGTTCCCCCCCTTCCCTTTTTCCTCTCTTTTGTTCCTTGTAAATAACTGAATATGTCCGTTTATGTGTACAGTGCATCTCGATCAGGTCACCCCTTCCATCGGTCTCCCCCCACCCCCACCTATCTTGTCCCCATCCAGCTCCTCAAGTTTCATGATTCCGAGTATGAATTTTGAATATCATGAGTATTTGTACACCACTTTTTAAAAATGTTTCACAAGCTAGGGGTTACTGGTTCATGCCTATAATCCTAACTGCTCATGAGGCTGAGATCGGAGTTCAGAGCCAGCCCTGGCAGGAGAATCTGAGATTTTTTTTTTTTTTTGGTCGGTTGTGGGGCTTGAACTCTGGGCCTGAGCGCTGTCCCTCAGCTCTTCAGCTCAAGGTGAGTGCTCTACCACTTGAGCCACAGCACCATTTCTGGTTTTTTAGTGGTTTATTGGAGATAAGAGTCTCACAGTCTTTCCTGCCCGGGATGGCTTTGAACTACGATCCTCAGATCTCAGCATCCTGAGTAGCTAGGATTACAGGTGTGAGCCACCAGCGCCCAGCTTCTGTGAGATTCTTATCTCCAGTTAACTACCAAAAAAGCCAGAAGTGGAGCTGTGGCTCAAGTGGTAGAATGCTAGCCTTGAGCACAAAAGCTCAGGAATAAGAGCCCAGGCCCTGAGTTCAAGCCCCAGGACCAGCACACAGAAAAGTTTCCAGAAAGCCAAGCACTGGTGGCTCATACCTGTAATCCTAGCTACTTAGGAGTCTGAGATCTGAGAGTCGTGGTTCAAAGCCAGCCTGGGCAGGAAAGACTGTGAGACTCTTATCCAATTAACTACCAGAAAACTGGAAATGGCACTGTGGCTCAAGTGGTAGAGTGCTAGCCTTTAGCTAAAAAGCTCAGGGACAGCATTCAGGCCCAAAGTTCAAGCCCCATGACCCGCAAAAAGAAAAAAAAAAAAAGTTTCCAGAATAGTATTGAAAACCACCAGGGCAGGATTTTGAAAAAATAGAAGAAGGGCTGGGAAGGTGGCTTAGTGGTAGGGTGCTTGCCTAGCATGCATGAAGCCATGGGTGGAAGTCGTGCTGTGGCTCAAGTGGTAGAGTGCTAGCCTTGAGCAAAAGAAGCTCAGGGTCAGAGCCCAGACCCTGAATTCAAGCCCCAGGACTGCCCCCCCCCAAAAAAAAAAAATCAGAAAAGCAAACTGAGCTAGGGTGTGGCTCAAGTGGGAGAACAGGAAGCAACATCTCTGAGTTCAAACTCCAGTGCTGAATTCTGTTTAAAATGTGGGTAGGGATGATTTAGTTGGAAGGGGAGGTTAATGAAATAGTAGTGAGAAGTATAAATATAATATGAAGTTAGTGATGTAAGCAATATAGACAAAAATGGAAGCATAGTAAAACATTTCTCTGATTAGTAAAATTTTCTGATGAGAGCAAATTTTCTTATTCCATTGAAATATTTTTTCAAGAACAATGCATGCCTGAGCACTGGTGGCTCATGCTTGTAATCCTAACTACTCAGGAGACTGAGATCTAAGGATCTTGGTTCAAAGCTAGCACCTGCCATTACCTCTACATAACCTCAGAAAAGCTGGAAATGGAGCAGTAATTCAAGTGGTAGAATGCTAGCCTTGAGCACAAAAGCTTAGGCACAGTATCCAAGCCCTGAGTCCAAGCCCTAGCACTGGCACGGGGAAGGGGGTAGGGGCAAGAAGCATGTTAAAAGACTTGAGGTTGAATGTATTGGCTTCCTCCCCTTCCCAAGTCCC